CCTGTGCCTGTGCCTGTGCCTGTGCCTGTGCCTGTGCCTGTGCCGGTGCCTGTGCCTGTGCCTGTGCAGTGCCGGTGCCCGTGCCTGTGCCTGTGCCTGTGCCTGTGCCGGGTCTGTCCCCGGGTCCCGCTCGGCTCGGCCCCTCACCCGCTCTCCTCTGCCCCCACAGGACCCGCAGAGCCCCGAAGCGGAGCAGTTTCGCCTGACTGCCGGACAGATCACGGAGGTKCCCTTCGGCCTCAGCACCAGCGCTGCCGTCCTGTCTCACTACGGCGCCTCGGCTAACACCGTCTCGCTGTTCCGCAGGGTGCGTGGACCCGCGGCGCGGCATGAGGGRCATCATGAGCAGCTCCCTCCTCGGGAATATGCTGCCGGCGAAAAACCTTCGTCCCCAGCATGAGCGTTGGGTTCCTSGTCCCTAGGCCCGCTCGTGTGGGTGGGACAGGCTCTAGGACGAGTACTTTCAGTGGTAAAAAACATAAAACTCATCTCTCCTTAGGGAAAGCCAAAAATAGGGTTGTCATTGGCAGTCAGGCTGCCTGCCCACATCAAAGTAAATCCCCATTCCTGCACCAAAGAGGCCTTTTGCTTTTCAGCGACAAAGTGCCTGTCACAGAGACACGGAGCATTAATTACACCTGGTAAGATTCTCCTGTTTTGGTGTTTGCCCTATGGTTTTGGTTCAGCACCCAGTGCTCTGCTGAGAGCAATGCCTGTGTTTCTGCATGACCTGCCTGGAGCTTGGCATTAACTTGGATGGGGTTTCTGTGGTTTTGGAAATGGTCCTGAGACGCATGAAAAGTGTCTGGAGTCCATGTTACAATGGATCAACACAGCAGGCTTGATACCAAAACTTGGCAAGTGTCACTTCAGGCAGGCAAAGCTGTCTCCTAGCRTTCAAAACTTTTCCATCATGACAGAAAACAGATCCAGACTAGGTCTCTGCAGTTAAGAGATGCCATGCCACCCTACACTGTGGTTTGCAGACTCATTTCCCMAATACCCTTTAGGCATTAGAAATCTTGCTTTGGAGTTTCTTAGGGATGAATTCTGTGCAAGATCAAATCTCTGTTGACTCCAGCTCTAGCTGCCRGTGCCTCAATGTAGCTATGTTTGCTGAAATTTAAGGAGATGGTACTGGGAAGGGCCATGTACTTGCTGCAGGAATACTAAGAAAAGCTGAAAGCAAGTATTCTACTTGTTGTGTCAACTTCCTCACGTCTCCCCTTCTCACACAAGCATGGCAGTTGAAGACTGCAGAGGTAGGTGTGTCTGAAGAGGAAGGAAGGGGCTCCCAGACACCACAGAAAAGCCAGTGAAGAATTGCATCACAAGAACTCTAAGTGCTTAAGATGGAGAGACATGGATGCACACTACATGTTCTAGGGAAACTAAATATGGCAGCTTGGCCAGGTTCTAGATCCTGGTTGTACAAAAACTGGGCAAAGACAGTGTGTTCTCTTTTCTTTCTCATMATTTCCTGCACCGTGTTTACCACTGACATTATTCAAATAATTTAAAAAGAATGATCTAAGAATGAGCAATAGCTAGGCAGCTCCTTTTATTTAACCTTTTATTTGCTATGTCTAGATGTTGCAACTTCAAGCAACACCCATTTCAATTTTGTTTCTTAGTCATTGTGGTTTTGATCCAGAAATATTGAAAAGATTCTTTGTTTTTGCACTATGGCATATAGTGAGGATGACGGTGCTGCAAGAGAGTTTGATAAAAGAAAGTGTTTGGATTGTTGGAATTTGTATTATATTGAATATTCTTTCTTTGGATTCCAGTTTTTGCAACTGAACTCTCGTTTAATAGGGAAAAAAACCCAGCCTACACTAGTCAGGTTCAGATGTGGTTGACAATTCACTTGTCTGATTGTCAGTTTTTCTTAAGTTATCAGACACATTATTTTTCTTTTTATCCTGTGCTGAATAATGTGTAGGAGTAAGAGGTCAGAGATAAAAAGGAATTTTAAAAGAACGGATATAGGAGCTTGGAATCAAATACTCATTTGAAGGATGCAAAGATGCGTCATCAGGATAGAAGTGAATCAGAAGCATAAATTAATTTTTTCTTTGCCTTTGCATAGTATAAAACACTTATAATGCTTAKAAGTTTAAACCATAATTACAGTAGTAGGAGGGACTGTGTGAACCCATGAGACTTCTTTGTATACAGTGGAAAGAAACTGATTTATTCTAATAAGGAAGCCTAATAGACCTAAAAAAGAACATAATTAACAGACGCTAACAACCTAATTGTAWGGAGTGATGAAGTCATTTTGACTAGAGCTTCAACTATTAAATGTAGTGTCTCGGTTTGAAACAATGTTTTCAGAGAAAAATGTTACAGAGTAAATGTTTCCTCTGAAGTGAAAACTTTGCTAATTTTTGTTTTGAAATAGATGTTTGGGCAAAAGTGAAGAGAAAAATAAAAGTTTATTAACAAAGCACAGTGCCCACAGGACACAGATAAAAAGTAAYAGGAACACACGCCGCTCCCGCCCCCACAGCCACTCGCCATGTGGTGTGGAGAAAAAAAAAATGCGGCTCCTGTCCCTGGGACCAAAAAAAAAAAAAAAAAAAAAAAAAAAAAAAAAAAAAAAAAAATCAAAAAACCCTACATGGCTGCTCCTGCAACAGTGGCAAAACCTGGATTACAGTCCTTTCTTCACTGTGGATGAAGCAGAGGGCTCGGTGTGTTTTTCTGTCGCCGGCTTGGCTTATTCTGGAGTCTGGGATGAGACGGAGCCGCGAGGCTTCTTCCCCCCAGCTGCTGAATTGCTCCAGAAGAAAAATCACACGAGTCGGAGAAAAAGGGATGGTGGATCAGAGAAAAGATGTTTGCCACAGCTAACAAACSCGAGCTAGCTAAACGGCAACAATGTACTCCCCTTCACACAGTGCKCAAGGACTCCCGCTGCGCCGAGCTGAGCWYAAAAGCCCACGAGCTRAGCTACAAAAGCAAACGGCAGCATGGCAGCMCCGGCTTTTAAACTGCCCGCGCTGTCCCTGACCCTTCTTCCAGGTCGCGTTTAAAGGTGCAGACACTTCTGGGCATACAAACCAACAGAATAGGAATACAGAATTTGCACAAAATCAATCTGAGACATGTAGGCTATTTTCCAGCGTAATTTTATAAAAAAAAATAAATGCTGAGTGCAGATTCAAGATGTTAATATCCCTAAATGGAAATGAGATGTTTTCAGAAGCCCATGAAAGAAAAGGGAAGCCTTTCTGTAGAGTCCAGGCTGCTTTAGATTGATTCCCAAGGCCTGTCTGATCTCACCCACCCAGGTTATACACTGTTCTGATATTATTTACTTGAGCAGAGCTGCCCCTTCACATTATGCAGGAGGAAAATGTGTGAGAGGAATCAGGCCACACYGTCTGAAAAGCACCAGCTTGTGTTGTCAGACAGGGCGGATGACTCGTATCAAAGACCTTGCCAGTGACCACAGAACAGCAAAAATGGCTTTAGGTGTCTGCACACGACTGGAAAAACTAACACAAGCACTTTCAGAGGTTGCCCAGACACAGAGAAAAATACTGCTTSTCAGCCCCATTAACCTCATTCAACATGTGTTCAATGGCTTTCAAATCCCAAACTTCTATACTAGTTCATGTCAGAGACCATTGTCCCCATAGCTTAACTCCATCACATCCTGCGCAGGAACTCTACCCTAAACTCTGGTGATTTAGCTATCATTCAACAGTTGCCTGATTTCATTTGTTTACCAGGTCATAAAAATCTCAAATCACATCAGTTTGAGGGGATGAAGTGTGGGGAGATGTGTGGCAGGATGGATTTTCCTCTAAATCTGAAATATGCTGGGCCCAATATTTTTTTTATTTTTTATTTCTTTTCCCCTGCTGTACTGGAAGAAAAATCCTCTTTTTATTGGAGAGATTTCCTGCTTGCACAATGTTTCCAGGAATTCCATACTGGTCGATGCCAATGTTTATTACTTGTAGATGAAACAGAATAAGCACATGAAGATTTTTAAAAGGGACATAAAGCYGATATTGATGTGAGGAGTTAGGCTCTTTAATGACTTCTCTCCACAATGCCTAGAACAGTTTGTCAGCTAATTCTCCCTGTCTCCAGTGCATTGAGAGCTGATAGCATAGGGATGTCTGGAGTCCTAAGAGGTTTCTGTCATACCATGAGCTTGCCTTGTCCTTGGGAAGCTGGAGAAGGCTGGGAGATCTTTACCTCAAAGTGCAGGCTGGCTCCTGTAGGTTCTAGACCTCCAGAAGTGGTGGTGGGGAGAGGTGGGGATTGAGTAGTGGGAGGGAGGATGGTGGTGTTCCAAGGGATGGGTGTCTCTGTGAGTGAGTGCACCTCTGGAGGAGGTGCTGAGACGAGAGGACAGCTGTGACTCTAGGTGTCTTTGCATATCCTCAGGTGGACAATGACCGGAGGGATCTGGATATGAACAACGGGGATGTGGATACCAAGAAGCTGACTCGTTTCATTCGGATGAATGAGCTCCGCCTGGTGACAGAGTACGACCCTGTGGTAATGACCAGCTCCCTGCAGTCCTCACCCTTGCGCTTGGCCTTCTCCTCATGGTGTCCTCTGGCCCCGGTTTGCTCCAACCCAGATGTGTGTGAGGGTTGGAGCAGCAGCAGAGACGGGACTGAGGAAGCCACACAGCTTTTCACTGCTACTCCATACATGGACTGGAAGCAGATTTGCTGGGGCATGAGTGTGGTGGGAGAGGAAGGGAGTGATCACAGTTCCTTTAGCTTTCCAGTAAATTTGGGGTATTGAGGGGCAGAGGACTCCATTTCTTACTACTCCTGCATGCAGTGCTGCTTCCTTCCATGGACATTTGCTATGTTGTGCTAAGCCTGCATAGCCAGCTCATCCAGAATGCCCTCTCTTTGAAAAGCTTGGGGAAACATGGAAGCCCAAATGACCTGCTCTCAGAAGACAAGTTTTTCTGCATCACTCAGCACATAGGGTTTGATGTAAGCCCAGGTTTTTGAATGCATATTCAAGAGTGGGCTGGAAACTTCCTAAGCAAAATCGTTCCCATCCCTTCTATCCATTCCTCCAGAATTCATCAGTTCAACAACAATAAAGACCACCAAAACAAAGAAACAAACAARTAACACACAGTTTGGCTTAGAATGCGTCCATGCTGGCCATCTTCATTGGCTCACCAATCTGACTGGCTGTGGCAGGGTGCCAGTGCTCGTGCCTGCTGTAGAGGCGGACCAAGGATTTAGGTTCCTCTAAAATCCCAGCAGTTCTCTGGCCTCATTGCTGTGGAGTCAGTAGGTTTTAGAAGCCCCAGATGCTGCAAGGATGAGACTTTATCATTGCTGATGGGGTATTTTGTGGCCTTCTGGATAGCTATGACAGCGCTGATCAGGCTTGGTTTGTAGAATGGCCCAATGTGTTGGGGCCTTCTRTAAGGCTATAGAAAGCTATACCTTTCCAAGACAAACCCAAAGATCACCTAAAACAACTGGCACATTCAGTAAATTCAGTCACAGCCCACTAGTAGGAGAGTATTTTGTTTTGAAATTTAACTTTTTTTTCACAATGAAAGATGGTAGGAGTTTGATTTTTCTGCAACCAAAAAGAAAGGATTTGTTTTTTCATCTTCATATGGGAAAAATATGTTTTGAAATCACAGAATATTTCTGGGGACTGCTATATTCTGCCCCACTGGCCTAACAGCCCTTTGAGAACATCCAAGTCACATCAGCAGTGACCTGTTCTTCTCTTTGTAGTTTCCTAAATCTTCTGAAGCCTTGGAACCCCTATGGCATCCTTTTGCTATTCATGGGACCATGTCTCTCTCTATGCATTTCTGTTGATGCTTTGGGGTCTCACTGCCTGGTGTCCTGTTTGGCAGCCAGGCTGTGTCCCTGACTGAGAATTCCTCAGCTGTTCAGCTAGTCTCCTCCACCCTGACTGTCAGTACAKATGTTTTTACAGGTTTTTTTCCCAGGCCCTTTTGAGCACCATCAAGGTGCTGCAATTAACAGTGCCTCCTGCAGTCTCTGGCCCAAAGCCCTCGCAGCTTCTCTGAGGTAGCTTGGTTTTCCATAAATATTTATTCCCAGTGCACATACTKTTTGCATCCAGAAATGCTGCAGGTCAGCAGATAATGGAGTCACATGGCTCGCACCAAGCACTGCCAAGAATTTCTCTCCCAATACTGGGGCCCTTACTGTTTCTCCCACATACTTCAGGAATTTTTAGGCACTGTTTACCCTGTGGGCTTTCAGGAGAGTCAGATGTGACCCAGCCATGCCGATGAGCTCTGCTGATTGCTCTTACACAAGGTTGTGTGGACAGGCACACCTTTGTGTGCAGCTGCTGGAGGAGCTGCTGCTCCAGCCCTGYCCGCTCTCACCCCAGCCTTGTCATGGGACTTGGTGCTGGCTGGCTTCACACTCACCTCCAGCCTCATCCTCTTTCATGAGGTCTTCTAATGCTCTCCCCTCTACTGTCCCCTGCCTCAGCTGCACACCAACAGAAAATGGAAGGGATACAAAATGTCTAATAAACATTAGGCTGACAGCAGAGTCCCGTCTGCCAAAAACAAGATGCTCTGTAATGCACAGCTGTTGCCAGCACGCACTCCCTGACCCCTTCCTTGTTACTCCTGGAGCATGTGGAAACTTTCTGCTCCCACTGATGGGGAGCTATATAGTCTGTGTCTCTGTGGTTTCAGTGGCACGGGGGAGGTAACAGGTCTGGCCCACTAGTGTTTAATTTGAGGGAGAGACTGCAGGCCTGCAGGAAGCTGKCGGAAGGAGAAGTGAGAAGACAAGTGAGCGAGTTCATGGAGATGGTGCCGTGGCTTCTCAGGCAGTGCCAGTCCTGTCTCCCCACAGAGACTCAGTGTGTAGTGCTTGTTTGGCCCTTGTCCAGGGCTTTCTCTCACTGTGGGACTGCAGAGGCAATTTTAACCCTCACCACTGAGGAGTGGACAGGCCATTGGGCTGCTGAAACTCTAGGCTCATTCTCATCCTACACACAATGTAACACTAAAGAAAGAAAAGGACAAACACCAACCTTGATACCACAAATCTTTCCCACTTTCTTTCTCACAGRCAGATGCTGGACCTCAGCGATTTAGGACACCCTTATATTCAACTTTTGCTGGCCTTGCTCTTCACATCTTTGCTCKAGCCTTCAGCTTGCTGTATTCAGCCCTAATCCTCTTCCCAATCCTTGCCTAGTCACTATCTTGAGGCCAGTGATGGACCTTTGTGGTYTTCAGACTCCTATCTGGGAAATAACCAAAGCCAGGAGGTTAAGTGCTTCTGCAAAGAACCCAGATTGATCCCCCCTGCTTCAAAGAAATCTGTGCTGCTTGTGAGGATGATTTTCAGAGAAACCCCAGCTGAGCCATGTGGACATATGTCCCACTGCACCCAATGCAAACTGTGTTCTCAGTCTCCTTGCCTGTGTGTGTTTCTSTCTCTGTGCTGGGCAGACAGCAATAGGTGTGATGCAGAGTTCACTCCAGTTTAACCTGCTCCTGATCACAGACAAGATGTCCCCAAAGCACCCTGAGCGAATGAGCAAGTTTCGGGCAGCGGCAGAACTTTACAAGGAGAAGGTAAGTCCAAACTGAGAGAAAGAGGGGCTGTTGGGGAGCAAAAAAAGAGCTGTGATTTCTGCCATGAATGGGGAGGGCATAMACTCTTTTGCAAATTATGACAGCAAAGATCAAGAGCAGGAACAGAGGATTATCTGGATAATTAAGTGGAGGGGTTGGTTCTGTTCATCTTTTGCCAGTTTGCCACTGCACAGGAAAAATAATCTCTGTATCCTGCTCTTCTGTCCTGGTGAAATATGGTGTGTTTTGTTCCTTTTAGTCCAGTTTTGTTCCCTTGTACTGAGAGGTGGCCACACAGCTGCTGCAATTCAGTCTGGCAATAGTTGCATTCCACTGATGTGAGAAATGAATTTGTGTCTACAGCCTGCAGGACGCCAAGGAGCCTTATATAAGTGACCAGATAGCAAATAATGTCAGTGCTTCTTAACCATTAGACTTCTGGCTGGATCCTGGGTAAAYGGCTGTTTTAAAGGAGCTGCAAATTGATTTCTTAGATATTCCACACTAAGGTGATGAAATAGATGAGGTGTTTCAGAGAAATTTTTCTTGAATCCCATTCCTCTGTGAAGAGAGCTTCCCAAATAGTAAATCATCCTATGGCTGATTCTCTGGCAGCAGCTGGATTACAGCAGAATTTGTGTACAAGAAACAGAGGAATGATTTGGCAAGCAAAGGAGGATTGGGAGCAATAGGAAGTTATTTGTGGTAAGGGAGAGCAGCAGATGAGAGGGAATCACAGAATATGGAAGCTGGAAAGCATCGGCGAGCTGAGGAGCATGAAGAGATCTTCCTCTGAGAAGTGTGGAGCTGGAAAGAATTGGGATTTGATAATAGAACATCTGCGTGCATCTGGTTTTGGTATTGAAGGGACAGATTAGAAATCAAATATATACTCACCTTTGAATCAGGGRCCATCTCAGAACCCTGCATTCTGAAAAGTCTTGAGACTTGTTTAGGGCAGGACTACTTTGGGTCTTTACATCTTCCCTCCCCATTGGCAAGAGACTAGGCAGAAACTRTGCATCAAAATCAAAAGGTCACTTCAAAAGTGTTTTGCTTTGATGGATATGTAGTTATAAAAGAAAATTAATTTATCTGTAAAATTCCATTTATCTATTGTGAGGTGTGTGTTAAAGTGACACCCTTACCACTGYTCTCCATGAGAAGCAGAGTCTGATACGGGTCTCCCCTCAGCAGCTATCTCTTTTAACACAATGCTGTTTAGCATCACTATGCTTTGCTGATGCAGCTGTGTCTAGTTATCATGTGACATGCCTAGATCTGAGAAAATAGCAATAATTTTCCTAGAAATATTTCACAAATCATTGGATAAAATGTTGTGCTGAAGTTCAGACAATTTATGAATTCTCAGCAAGCCAAATACTTTAAAAAAAAAAAACTTTATTTGTGTGGGCAAGTTTCCCACTAAATCAGCCTAGAAGTTTGCCAGAGAAAAATATAAACATTAAAGATGTGGGGATTTGACTAATTATTTCTACTTTACTGCAATGGTTCTTGAGGACACAAACATGAAGGAACTTAGAGTCTAATAAGYTGCTTTTCCAGAAGGAGTGGCGCTCTTACAAGTAAATTCTATTTTGGACTGCCCTCCTAGAAAGCAGCAAGAGAGTGCTGGGGTCCCTGTGTTTGATTTTTGTATCTGGATAGTAAGGAGTAAGCAGAGTAARCTGCTCACTTAGGTTTATCTTCCATTGTTCTGTCATGTAGAAAGACATGAGTTAGTTTGGGTGTCAGTGGCAGCCACCGCACAATACCCCGGAAATCCCTGCTGGCTAATTTTCCTAAATGAAGTTATGTGTTGTCAGGATTACCAAGTTAACTGAGGTTTGCTTCAAAATAAGTCAAGGATTTATTAGATTTTTCCTTTTTGCAGCTTGCAGATTGTCTGAGAATAAATGCAAGATTCTCGAYTTGAATTTTATTGAGGATTAGCAGTGAATAATTCCTATTCTGTGGGATAGTGGTGGAAGCCTTCTTTGTGCTGAGGGGTTAGTGCTGTCAGTTTGAGCAAGGAATCATTGCTGTGCAGCAGAGAGCTGTTCAGGCTCCCTGTGAGTACAYACCACTGCATCCAGCACTGCTTCACTGGGATTGCAGAGTGCCAGAACAGAGTGGGCATACCTGCTGTGTGCTGCAGCATTTCTGCAAGCCAGTGCCCAGCACAAACAGAGCCCTAGAAGGGTTTACAGGCAGGAGAAGGGGTACAGATCCTGCCACACATTTCTGCTGCACACTGAGGAAGAGCAGCCCTTGTCATTGTCATCACCAGTGAGAGGGGAAAGAGAAACTTATTGCTCGGAAAGACAAAGAGGAACTGCTGCTGCTGCTGCTGACTGACTGGCCCCAAAGAGTGAAAAAAACTGTAAAATTGTGGAATCACTGAGGTTGGAAAGGACCCCTAAGATCATTGAGCCCAACTGTTAATAGAGCATAAGGAGGTGCTTCACCTGCCAGTTTCTGGATTATGATCCTTTCATCTTTGTTTTGTGGTGTTTGCACTTCTGCCTGAGAGGAAGCTGAGATTTTCAGCTGGARGATCTGTGAGGCAGTATGGTGAGGACTGTTATTTGAAAACAGCCTGAACTGCAACTGGAGCAGCAGTGAATGCCTGGAGGCAGTCTAGGCTTTTCTAGGTTTTATTGTGAAACCTGAGAGCTATAAAATGTTGGAGAGGAAAATGCAAATGGTAGATGATGCTAAGCCAGCATAAGCTGACAACAATAATAAGAAATATGGCAGTTTTCTAGCAGACTTTGAGAAACAATTGTCAGTCRATAACTGTAAAGAGTGTTCAGAGCACTGCAGCTGCAGGAGTGAATCCACCAGCTTTCTTGGCTCTTCAATCAAATGTGTGCTTATTTGAGAAAGTACTGCCAAGAGTCCAGGCAAGGAAAGGAAATGCACTGCAGAGGAAATGTCAGGGTTTGCACTGCTGAGCCAAACTAGCATAGTCATATCCAGTTTTCTTTCTACAGTGTCAGAGTATAACATGATAATTACAGCTGGTGTAACTCTTGGGTGTTTGTAGAAGTCTCAGTAAGGTGATGGTGGAATAACAAAAGCAGTTTTTGTTGCAGCTGACGTAATTGGTTTCCAACATCAAAATGATTTGGGTAGAGATGTTGGTAAACTCTCTTTTAACTTATATGTAGGTCCATTTAGAAATGCATTTTGAGAAACACCTGGTGTCCTTCAGGAGTTCTTCCAYGGAAATGAAAAGATTATGCCCTTTCTCTTGCAGACATTCACACACTTTTTATTTTTCTTGTGAGATATTGATGACTCCAGAACTGAGACAGATAATATTTAGAGATGCCTCTTCTAGCCATAAACATAGGAGCCTGTAAAATGGGGTTTTTAATGTCACTTAATAGATATCTGCAGTAAATGGTTTTCATAGCAGTTTTTACGTTTTTTTAATCATGACTGATTTTTTTTCTTGCTTTGATATACTATGATGCAAGAAATTACTCAAACTTCAGAATTTGATCTCTTTGATTCTACAAAAGAATAAAGACTGCAGCTCTCTGAACTTCAAAGTCAAAACTGGATATGAGGCTTGACCACCCTTTCTGCTTGTTAGAGGGAAAACTAAGCAATGTCAAATTGGTTCCTACCACCGCAGTGCCATTTTCAATTAACTTTAATTCCTTGGGCAATAACATCATTCCATATCTTAGTATCTACCAGGAACTTGWTGTTCTAAAAGTGCTGGGCTAGGAATCAAGTTGTCAAGACATCTAGAGAACACAAGTTACAAAATTTTCTAAAAGGGAGCTTGTTGCAGATGACAGTGCACAGATAATGCCATGTGTATGGAGAGATTTTGAGTCAGGAGCTCCTCATTCATGGAGAGTATCTTTCACTGCCTCTAGCAGCAGATCTCTGAACACAGGCTAGAAGATTGYTTACAAAATGAAACATTTGCATGGAAATAATTTCAGAATGAAAAAAATCCCAACCAGCTATTGCACAGGATAGTACAAAATGGAAAGTGAACTTTCTGTTTGGGATGGAACTAATTGGTTTCTAGCAGTTACGTGAGAGTTGCCATTGTAAGTGGAATTTGTTTTGGTGAGCTGTAGCTTTGGTAAGTTGTCTGAGTAAAGGTTTTAGGCTCTTTTCAGCACTGAGAGAGAAGGACAGGTGTATCCTTCCTTCCTTTTTAGAATAGGTGGAATAAAGTGCCTGTCACTGTTTATTGTAGAGGTTACATCCGTGATGGGCTGAGGCAAACTGGCATCTGGATARCTGAAGTTGGGCAATGTGAATCCTGCCTCATGGTCAATATAACTTCCCATGGTTACTGAGTTCATTCTTTATGTTTGGAGCTGATTGGAAATCTCAGAACAAAATTAATTCCTCATGAGAAAATGTCAGTTCCACGACGTGGCATCTATCATGGAAGTGTGCCCACTGAGACACCTTGGTTTTCAGCTGCTGTGGAGATCAGGCTCCCTCCCACTGCTTGTGGCCTGTGGGCCAACACATCCCACATTCTGCCCCACAGGCATGTCCTGGAGACCATGGAGACCTTGGTGGGACTCCTGAAACACAACCAGCATAGGATGCATGGAGTGTCCTTCTGCTGAAGGAGGGTTCATCCATGTCATGGTGCCTACCAGAAATGCATCATTCTGATACCCATCAAGGTGTCTTCTTTTGAGCTATGGTAGCCAAATGTATTTACTCTCTTTCCAGTATTTTTTGAATATGGGTAGAAAAGGAAACTTCGCTTTACTTTGGCACACCGTAACTCTGGGAGCCAAATGAGAGTCTTTAGCGAGATCCAAGTTAGTAATTCTGAATGATGATGATGATGATGATGATGATGATATCTCAGCCTTTCTGTCTGAGGGGCAAGTTTATGTGTTTCTGTTTGCTCCTGTAAGGAAGAAGGAATTTGGAGTTCTAAACCAACCCCAGCCTTTTTAGGTTTTTATTCTTACTCTACTCCTGGTATTCGTGGATAAAATACATGCAACTTTTTCGTTTTGGGGGTTTTAGCAAAGTCTGGAAGCTTGATGAAGTGAAGAATATTGACTAATATTTATTCATATTACCATTTAAAAATGTTAGTAATCAGTTTTAAATGTGGTAGAGATTTTGTAGACACAACAATACTTTTAAAATTTTAATAACTTCTAATATTTAATTAAAAAATACATTGTCTAGGGAATCTCTTACAGAGATGAACTGGTGAAATGCCGTACCATTTCCTGTACCCACACTCTGAAAGTGCTTCCCTCCAACACTGACCTCTGTTCCCAGCTTTCCAGTTGGAAAGAGAGCCCTAAAATCTTACATATTGCTGTTCCACCTGAAAGGCTCTTAGAAAAAGTCTCTAGATTTGTGAACCTTAGATTTGTGACCCTTCTCTAGATTGGTGTTTTATCCTGTGAAAAGATGAATTAAGCCCTCTGGGAGAAGTACCCCACAACCTGCCTGCTCATGAGCTTTTTGCTCTTGGGACACAGCTGACTTCTGGAAGAAAAATTACAAATGGTGAATGTCACATACCCAGTGAAAGTGCTGCTCCTGTTCCTGTATTTCATTGTGTAACTGAAGTTAAACCTTGCAGCAGCCTAACTGTCYCTTCTTCCCATAGGCTGTTGCTTAGGAAAGTTTACAGATATATTTGTTTTTTTGTAGAACATAAATTTAATAAGTAAAGAATTTAGGATTTATGAAGATTATTTTTAGAGAAGAAAACAAGTTTTGAACTAACTTGAGTTTTCTTTATTGGAAAGAAAGAAAAACATGAGTCACAGCCTGGGAACTGGGCACATAATTTTCACATTATACTTCTTCTGTTTTTTTTAAACTCTMCTTTTCTTGTGTAAGTGAARCCATAGCCTAGTCCATRGGTWATTGTATATGCTAGATTGCAGTGGMTTGCACAGGGTAAAAAGGATATAAAATGACACATGCTAGCTGGGTATTTATTTCATTTACTTGGATCTCATCTGCTGARGGATTCTATTTAATCAGGTCACTGATTAAATTGTTTAATTGCTGTATTAATTTTTTTTACAAATTTTATGCATAATATTTGTATTTATTATTAATGTATAAACTAACAAAAACTTTTAGAAATCRTTGTAGATTTCATTGATAATCTTTCAGGTTCTGAAATTTTCAGTTTGCATGTATTCTTACTGCACTTGGAAGATCTAAGTTGAAACTTAGCTCTCAAAAATTAAATCATAGAGTTTGTCACCAAAGTTTGTCTTCTGATCATCCCAGCAGAGTCCTAATCCTAAGCTTGATCTTGTTCTCCAAGATTCTTTGGGAGCACAGAAAACTGTAGGTCATTCTCATCTTGGCTAATTCATTGCTGAGTTTCTCTCCCCAGGTCTGAACAATGCTACACTGAGCTGGGCTGTATGGACATTTGGGCTGTGTGGACATTTAGGCTGTGTGGACATTTGGGCTGTGTGGACATTTGGGCTGCATAGACATTTGGGCTGTATGAACACTGGTGTCTTGCCAACAACCTCTGTTTCCCAAATCATTCCATCTTCATTTGTGCTGATTGCAGCTCACTTAAATGCATCCTTTGGTTTTGGTACTCTCATGTTCTTATCCTTCGAGGCTCCTGATGCCCCGTACTTAATTCCCACATTCTTGCAATTGAGTTTGATCCTTCACACACCAAAACCCCTTTTTACTCTGGGTCTTGCATGGATGTGAGCATCTTATCCAAATAGCATGCAAGTAAAGGATTCAGCTTCTTTGACATTTGCTGTTAAGATAAAAGATATCTTGTTTCCTCACCTATTAAGAGAATAGAAGTGGAGACTGYCTTCCTGTCATACTGAAGGGAAAAGAAGACATTTTCTTTGGTAGTACAAGTCTGGACTTAATAAAATACAGACAAATGCACTGCATGAAGCTGCTAGATAGTGGCAAAGAAAAGTATTGTCCTAACAGAGTATGGATGGTTTTCTCAGACCATTTTATGAAAAATATCACTGTTGATCTTCATATGATCATTGTTTGGGGATCTGTTCTCTTTCTCAGCTTCTGTTTTTCTCACATTTCCTTTCCTATTTCCATCTCAGATTCTCTTTATCCTGTTGGACAGCAATTTGAAGAGCAATGAACGAGTAGTGTCATACTTCCAACTGAAGAAGTCCCAGCTGCCAGCTCTSGCTATATTTTACACACCAGATCATGAACATGATGTGTTGACTGTGGATGAAATCTCTGTTGAACGTGTACAGGACTTCTGTAATCGTTTCCTTCAAAAAATGCAAAAGGTAAGGGTGGGAGGGTGGNGGGTCTTGATGTTGCTGTTTATAAGGCTCTTGAGGAAGATGACTTCAGTTCCTTGAACTCCTCCCTCTTTCACGTACATTTCCACCTGAATATCAGAAAAGCATTAGATTTAGGGCAGTGCAGAGATGGATGTCTTTGCAGAGCCTCTTTCTTCATTGACCTGTGCCTTCTAGCTCACAACAAGAAAAAGTCACTGATCTCTGCAGCTGTGGGAAGGTTTCCGTGAAGCATATGTCTTTTGGGAGCAACAGCTAGGGAGACAAAGTGAAGGATGCTTTTGGATGCTGAAAATGGATGGCAGCGTACGAGACCGGGCCAGAGAGACAGGGATATGGACAGGAATTAAATCTATCACAAAGATTACAGAACAGTGTACAAATAGGGCCTTAGGACTCTACTAGAGGTCTCTGCTGAGAGAGGGACAAGGAAATCTCCATGTTCATTCAGTCCTAAGGATTCTCTCCCTGTCAAAATTCATCCTCCTGTAGCACAGGTGCTTTGTGTTGTGGGATGGAAATGAGATAGTTGGGGCAGTGGTGTAGACAGCRGAGTGGGCATTTGAGTTTTTTTGTTTTCTTTATCACCAAGTCATGTCAAAACTGATTTCACGCTCCTAATGTGTTTCAGAGAGAAGATGAATCTGAGGAGAAGCCCCTCAATGAAGAACTCTGATTCTTTCTCAGCCAACAGGATGATTGTAGCCAGAGTCATCTGTTTCTGGTGTATGAAGAGTTCACTCTGCCCTCCAGCTCAGCAATTCCTGAGCCAAGTCAGTCATGGATTCCCATCATCATTCTGTGTACATATATRCTGCCTGTTTCTCTTCAAGCATCTCTCCTCTCTTATTTCTTCTCATTTGTTGGCCACAGATCTCTTTTTTCAGTACTTCAGGACCTCTAGAATTGCCCTACAGTATGTCCTTTTGTGCCACACTGCTGGAGCAAAGGGCAGCATTGTGAAACAGCATTATCAGAGATAAGGCTAGTATTTCCCAGGATCTGTTTTCCTCATTCTTTTGGTTTTTGGTGCCATGCTGGAATTCACTGTCAGCCTTTCTTGATACTACAAACAGATTTGTTGCTTGATGTCACATGAAATTTTCCATTTATTTTACTRAATAAAGCAGTAAGTGAATAGCCTGAATTTTTATGCAAATGTGTTATATCTCCCTTGTCTTCCACTTAAGGACAAAGTCTCTGTATTTATGAGTGAATAAGATAAAAAAATCCTTTCTCTGAGTTTAACCAAGGCAATGCCTAACCAGTCATGTTGGTTACTAAGAATAATTCCCTGTGGAAATGGACCCATCATGAAGAGATATTTCCACCAGGATGGGAGTTTCCAGTGTCATGCAGGACAGCGGTCCACAGTAAACAGTGTGGGGGCACTGGCCTGGTGCACAAATGTCTGAAGTCTGTGTCTTGGTCAGCTGCAGAAATTGGGCACAGAGACGTGACTTTTCCTCAGTACKGCAGGGAAACAAAATAGGACATGAGCGAAGCTCTGGTTCTGCAAACAAGCCTGGGAGTAAAAGCAGTGTCCCCAGTGACTGTGCTCGCTGTGTACACAGCTAATTATAGGGATAACTTTTCATGAGCTTCATTATGTACACTGGGGAGTTTAATTCCCTCTGCACCCTACAGAACTCTGCATCTRACTAACAAACTTGGGAGCCACAAGCAAGCCACAGGAAAAGCCTCCTCCTCCTCCAGCAGTTCTGTGGTGCTCTGCAGGACTTTCACAGCACAGGCAGCCCTGGGGCACTGCACGCAGTGCACAGATGTGGTGGCAATAGAGTCAGGRGGTCTGCCTTAATCCCCATGCTCAAAGGCTTCTGCAATGCAGCTTTGGTGGGCTTAGCCACTCCGATAGGGCATTTGAGATAGAAACCACAGGCAGAATCATGTGCATGGGTCTATCTCTTGTTTGCTTTATTTTTGGTTTTTGTGCCCCATTGTATTATATCTGACCTGAACTTGTGATGTACATGGCCCAGATGTTTTGAGCTGTCTGGGGAGGCTGGTTTGGTTTTCAAAGGGAGGAAGTGCTAGATGCAAASTGACAGAGGGCAGGATGAAGGGGCCCCTGTTCACCCGAACATTGCAGACATACTGTGGTATAAGAACCCCTGCTCTGCAGCAGCATCTGAACTCAAAGGACATYCAAAATATCTAAGATAGAAGCTCAGTTTGCCTAGCAGGAAAGTGAGGCTGCAGAGGCGTGTGAGAGCTGCTGTCTTTACCCCAGGGAACAGGGAATTGGGTTGTGTTGTAGAAGATACAGTTACATATCCATCTTTGGTGAGAAAGGATTTGAATATCTCCAAAAGCAGAATGTTACAGAGACCTGGAGATTCAGCAGGGGGACTTATATATTTTTATTTTATTTCTGAACCACTGTGTGTGACATTAAATAATGAAGTGTTGCTCAGAGGTGAACTAGCCCTCATCTGCTGCAGGCTGAACCAAGACTTTGCATATGAAAATCTGTCCCTCAGCTTTGTCACTTCAGTCCCACTTGCACACAGAGTTATGGATCTGCCTGTGAGGGGCCCTGAGCTGCAGAGTCTGACTGCAGAAGGACCGAACAGCCTTTGTACCTATACTGAAGAAGAGGAGCAGGCTCTGGTTTCTKCATGTGAGTCTGCCTTGTCAGCATTGCTCCTGCTCCTGGCAGTGGCTGGGAGATGCTGAGAGGTCTCTGACTGCCAGCATGAAGGGAAGATCATCCCCCAGGCCAGGTGCCTTATTCATGCTGAGTCAACTACCAGCACAGCAAGGCAGGACCAAAACTTCTTCCTTTGTTTTAGGGACCCTGCTAACTTTGAATAAAAATTTTTAAAAAATTTCTAAGATATTCACCACAAGCTGTCACAGGATGAACTTCATGGTGCCTATGTCAGATTCCATCTCATGCATGGAAGTCCAGCACTGAGCTGGGYCTGAGTGYCCAGSACAGGGAGGAGATTGTGATGATTTAGAGCAATATATGGTAGTAACCATTGTTGTCCTTATTGCAGATGGAGGAAGGGCATAGCTGTCCGACAGCTCTGTTCACAGAATCACAGMATGGGTCWTGTTGGAAGGGACCACARTGGGTCATCTGGTCCAAGCTCCCTGCTCAAACAGGGTCATCCCAGAGCACATTGCACAGGATTGTGTGCAGATGCTTCTTGAGTATCTCCAAGTGAGGCAGAATCCACAGCCTCTCTGGGCAATCTGTTCCAGTGCTCAGTCACCCAAAATGTAAAAAAGTTCTTCCTCATATTCAGATAAAACTTCCTGKGCATCAGTTTCTGCCTGTTGCCTCTTGYCGTGTTGCTTGGTGCCRCTGRGAAGAGCCTGGCTCCATCCTCYTGACACACYCCCTTCAGATTGCAGACATTGATGAGGYTCCCTTTCAGTCATCTCTTCTCGAGGCTGAACAGGCCCAGCTCCCTCAGCCTTTCCTCATAAKAGAAATGCTCCAGTCCCTGAATCWTCTTTGTAGCCCTCTGCTGGAACWGCTCCAGGAACTCCATGTCTCGTACTGAGGGGCCAAGGGGAGCTAATCTGGAAGGAAGATGTACCAATAAATATGGGCAGCAATATTACAAATAAACTCTCTATTGCTCGTGGACAGATCACAGGATTTAGCCATTCTTAGTCACCTCCCCACAGGATGGCTTCCTCYCTGTACCACTAACAGCAGCCCACAGACTGGCAAAGAGGTGAGGACAGTTGACACAGGAGGARGAAACATTGTCTGAAGGATATAACTGGGATAGCGGTGTGCAGGATGGTGAAGGAGGGGGGCCAGGAAGAGCCAAAGGCTGTTTAGAGAGAAGTAGGGGGTCAATGAGGGAAGGTGCTGGGTGGATACCACAGAGAACTGATAATGATGGAGAAGGGAACACAGAAGTGTTTTCTTCTAAGGCTGCAAATCAAATACCTCTTTGATCTATTTTGGCTTAGTCACTAAGGAAACTTCAGAKGAACATTTTCAGTGGAAAAACCTGCAAAACCACAAGATGCACATTGAATAAGAGAGTACTTGTTCTCTCATTTGAATTTCTCCCTTCTTTGCTAAAGTACTTGYAAATCCAGGCAGGCAGGCTAGTTGCATGATCTGTAAAGCAGCACTTTTCCTCAGCTTAGAGGAAAGGTCCATGGATAACAGCATCCCTGCCTGCACCAGGCACCCACATATGGCAGCTATGCAGAGCTGCTCTCTGTRTCACAGCTGCAAACAGCACTGTGCCCTCCTTCCCACACGCTCACCAGGGCTCGAGCTGTTGAATCCTCCATGGATCACAACAGCCCCTGGAGAACCCCATATCTTGTCCACATACAGATTGAGATGCCAGCCACATCTGATCTCCAGCCTTAACACATGGGCYGTGTGAGTGCTCCAGATTTCTCGCTATCCCTGTGTTATGAGTATTGTACATTCTTCATGTCTCCCMCCTTCCTYTCTTCCTAGRCCAGAACCCATATTTCATCATCTTRTTAGGGGCTTAGCATGATTCTGTGCCACCCATGTCATGTGTTTTTTATGTCTACATCACCAGCATTATTTCTTGCCTTTTATCTAGTAGATGAGGCATTGATGGTATTGCTATATGCAATTTTCAGTCCAGCCTGAAACAGCACATCATTACTTCCACAGGTACTAAAAGATACACCATGGGTGTAGTCCAATTCTGGTTCCTTTATCTGTGAGGGCAACTGCAGACATGTGCCAAGTCCTTGGATACTCTAATCAGCTATCAGAAGAGCAGGATGGGAACTTGCAGCTCTCCTGCTATTTTTCTGTTGCTGTTAATCACTGGAAGGGATAGAATAATCACTTCAAGAAAAAAATGTTCATCTGTTTTCTTCTCCACTAAATAATAGAGGGCTGCATGCCTGAAAGACAGATGTGATATTTTCAATATAAATCTGTTGTGCTCAGAGTATTCTTTGGTATTTTGGAAGTCAATGTGGGTGTTGTTCCTGGATGTATCATGACTTCCCATTACAATCAAGACTTTATTTTCCTTGGCCAATTTTTTCTGCTCTTTGGCTGAGAAACAGAAGAGACAGACAGTAACTTACCCCAGACTGTTGATGAAGCCTGTAGGCAGAGCTGGAGAGAGAGCCCAGATCTTCTGCATCCAGATCTCCTGAATGTGAGCCATACTTCCCCTTCACCTTCCATTTCCCCCTGACTCCCAATGGCTTTTTTCTGAAGTTGAAATGTCAGCCTTTMACCGTGAGTTAAAGGCTGTCTTATTTGGTTGCTTGTTTGCCACAGCCGAAACTGAATAGATCTGGATCATTGTTTTCCCTCCATCTCTTCCTCCTTCCAGTAAGACCCTTCCTCCTGGACAAATTGCCTGATTCTTTTGCGATCTGATGGTGAATGTACTACCTTGCCACATGGCTTTCTCCAAGCAGTTGCTGTGTTTTCTTGAAACCCTGGGCATCCTGGATTTCACATCCTATCTTGTAGCAAAATTTTCAGGTTTTATGCTCTGTTAGGATTCTAGCAGTAGAGAAAATATTGTGTTAAGCAAACATTCAGAAGATATATTTGCGTAAAAATTTTAATATTATTTTGAAAAATTACCAGATATTTAGATATAATCGCATTTAAAATATTTTATTACAAACATAAAAAGAAGGTACATTTGCATAATCAAGAAGCATCTATGGCAGGTAAGAGGAAAATGTGAATGAGTCCTTGCTTGGCACATTTCAGTCTTGGCAAGACAGTAGCAGAAAGGAAGGTATTGTTAAGATTAAAGGCTGTTTTTCACACTCTAACTGAGGTATCAAATGATTACYAAATCAAATATCAAATGATCAACTATCTTTAAATATTCATCRATCTTCTTTTCACAGATCTGTTCTATCATCCAGGAGTTTGGATGCTGCCATGGTTAATGGGTCTTTCGAGTGCTTCCATCTTGCACATACCTAAGATGGAAACAGCCTATCTTTGGTGTCCCTGCTGTGATCAGATCACTCACCCACCGCCACAGAGACACAAACCACTCTCCCACAGAGGGGCAGGCAGATGTAGGGTGACCTAAGAATCACCTTGTTGAGGTTGTTCTCAGTATCCCAAACCAGGGTCTCGTCTTTCTGCCATGCTGTCTGCAAGCAGCACGGA